TTTGATTCTTGTTGGTCTGTTTCGCATTTGTCTCTTGTCACGTGTTGACATTTGTTCGTTATATTGGGGTATATTATACGTTGGGGCTTCTGGATTTTATTCGTTCTACAAGGATCTCGTTATATCGAGGTTCTTTTTTATACATTTTACTGAAACTTTGGTCGGGCTGAAGACTATCGTTCGTTATATCGAAGAATTCGTTATATAGAGGTTCGTTACATCGTGGTTCCACTGCGCTTTAAGTTGCATCAGGCCTCGGAGACCAGTGGAATTCTGTTTGGTTCTTCTGGCTCATACTAAATCTAACTGAGTCTAATTTTCAGGGAAGAGGGATATGTCAGATGGTATGAGCACATCCTCTCACTTTTACTTTACTTCCTTTTTTTTGAAGTGAAGTTGCAATTAATTTTTTACAAAACAGCAAAATTCTTACACAATAAATTATCTTGAAGACACTTTGTTTACATATATTGAAGTAGCTGAATTTTATCTTCCTCACACATAAATATTAGAATCACAATGATATAGCAGTTGTCCATTTTTTAATAATCTTCTATATAAGTATTGATTGTCTACTGCGCAGGAATACCAGCTTCAGCTTTTGTTTCTTTGCTCTAGGAAATTTAGTAGAATAAACCATTGAACTTTTTTTGCAATAAGTAAATCGACAGAGAAGTAAAATAACGTGCATCATTGACATCTTGCTAAGGTTTCTCCCAAAGATAAGATTAGAATGGAAAATCTCTTTGTTATTCAAATTCTAACTAAACATGCGGAAGTGAAAGATGATTGTCTAAGTTTGTTTACAACAGTTTTGAATATTTAATTCTAAGGATAACGGCCGCCTGATAGTATCAACTAACTTGGAGGATTAGTTAACAACAAACTGAACTGTTCAATCACGAATAATGAAAAATAGTTATATATCTGAGTTTTTATGCAGCTGATGCTGAATGGAGATGTGCAATATATATCATAGCCACAGTGATTATTTACTGTGGCTACAAACTGATGACTGGGTCGAATTTTATTTTGTGTTCTTTGGGATGTTCAACTTTCGTAAAATTATTTTCTATGGCATCATGTGGGTATTTGACTATTTGAATGCTGGTCTTATAGACTTAATTATTTAGCTCAAATGAGGAAATTTAAAAAAGCGTTAGGGATGTATAAATTACCTAAAGTGAATTTAAAATGAGACAGCCTCAACGTTTATTACTTGCGCAGCTTTAAACATCTGTTTGGGAATTTTTTTATCAACTGATTTGAGAATAAAATGATTTTTGCGTTGGGAAATTTGGTGACGTTATTTAAGCATGCATCCCTCAATAGAAGGCCGGGAGACAATTACATTACATTTTTTAGGAACAAACAGAAGTCCACTTTTATGATATACGGTGGACTGATCAGGTTCTTTTTTTTTTGTCTAAATAACCAAGGAATTTTCGTTTTTCAATTGTATATTTATATGGTTTTGACTTAACTTGACTCCAGCATTTTTAGAAATAAACCGGTCACTTGATATGAAATTGGTTGTTAACAGGGAAAGTTCCTTTAAGAGAACCTCTCAACTATACCTTTAGACCCCTACTCTCGTCAACTGTTATTTCCAAGTATTCTTTCGCCCCCTGCCCTCTGCCGTACCGAAAATGATTGCTATTCAGCCAAACAATTCACGGTTTTTTAGAGTCCAATTTTCCCACGGCTGCTTATGGCAGAGCTTCTCTCACTTTCTTTGTGTCTTTGTAGTACGTCCACGCGTCCTCTCATGACTGAGATGGTCTCGTTTTGCAGATAACATTGTGGCATTTTGGGAAAGATTCACAATTTACTAATATT